AGAGAGAGACAAAAATCATATGACTTCACTCATATGAGGACTTTAAGGGACAAAACAGATGAACATAAGGGAAGGGAAACAAAAATAATATGAAAACAAGGAGGGGGACAAAACAAAAGAGACTCATAAATATGGAGAACAAACTGAGGGTTGCTGGAGGGATTATGGGAGGGCAGATGGGCTAAATGGGTAAGGGGCAGGCATTAAGGAATCTACTGAAATCATTGCTTCACTATATACTAATTTGGATGTAAATTTTAAAAAATAAAAAATAAAGTTACATAAAAAAAAAATAAACCACATCATTTAAAACCTCCCTAGATGATCTTCAAATTCAGTGGTTGTCATTGTGTCTCAATGTGATTTTTCTATCCACTGACTCCCAACCCTGCTCTTTGGTCATAAATTCCCACTTTTCCTTGATGTAATTGTAGTTGAGCCCAATCTCTCTCCTCTACAACAAAATCCTATTGCTGTGGTCCTTAAACCCATCACAATATCCTGAAGAAAGTCTGCCTTACTGTCTTTAACAAATGTCTCAGTCATTTTTTTTCCCCTTCAACAAAGACTTAGTGGTGATCAATGGATATCCCAACCTGGGCCCTGAAATCTCTGGCACTTTCTACTGGCTTTCTACTGGCTCTAAAGATTGTGATCTGCAGTAGCTGTATTTGAGAAGACTACAGCAGCTATTTAAATGATCTGTTGGACCAGGATGGAACAGTGGATCCTTTGAGAACCGTCTTCCATTGACTAGCAACTGGTGGGAATGAGCGGTCCAAGGTGTGCAGCCAAGTACATGCTGGGATAGGAGTGGGAGTGGCTAACCTGCCTGAATCACTCTACCTGTGGCTTTGGCCTTGAGGCAGGAGTAGAAATGGGGCAAAGGAGAGAATGCCTTTATTTGAATTAATCTAGATTCTACACAAAGTCATTTTTGCAACTGTAGACTTGATGCTGGAAGTCCATCTTCAGAGTTTAAAACAAGTCATTAGTTCATTTAATAACTGTTACCAGTTCACTGCAGGCTCTGTAACATTTTTGATTGCACATATAATCCTCTAAAAAAGAAGTGAGGGAGGAATTAGCATGTGTATATCGACTTTTATATTTACCCATATATTTACCATTTCCAGTGCTCTTCAATCATTCCTGAAAATCTGGGTTTCCTTCTAATTCTTTCTTTTAGCCTGGAGAACCAGTTAGCTGCCGTTAGCATATTTTGAAATACAATTCTACTGGTGACATATTCTCTTACTTTTCTTTTATTTGAAAATATCTTCATTTCATCTTTATTATTGAAATTTTTTTCACCAGATAGATAATTCTGTGTTTGGCTTTCAACACTTTTTTATTTTTTAATTTATTTTTATTTTATTGTTTAATAAAATTAATTGTCAAATTGGTTTCCATACAACACCCAGTGTTCGTCCCAGCAGGTGCCCTTGTCAATACCCATCACCCACCCTCCCCTCCCTCCACCCCCCATCAACCCTCAGTTTGTTCTAAGTTTTTAAGAGTCTCTTATGTTTTGCCTCCCTCCCTCTCTAATCTCTTTTTTTTTCTTCCCCTCCCCCATGGTCTTCTGTTAAGTTTCTCAGGATCCACATAGGAGTGAAAACATATGGTATCTTTCTCTGTATGACTTATTTCACTTAGCATCACACTCTCCAGTTCCATCCATGTTGTGACAAAAAGCCAGATTTCATTCTTTCTCATCACCAAATAGTATTCCATTGTATATATAAATCACAATTTCTTTATCCATTCATCAGTTGATGGACATTTAGGCTCTTTCCATAATCTGGCTATTGTTGAAAGTGCTGCTATAAACATTGGGGTCCAAGTGCCCCTATGCATCAGCACTCCTGTATCCCTTGGGTAAATTCCTAGCAGTGCTATTGCTGAGTCATAGGGTAGGTGTATTTTTAATTTTTTGAGGAACCTCCATGCTGTTTTTCAGAGCGACTGCACCAGTTTGCATTCCCACCAATAGTGCAAGAGGTTCCCGTTTCTCCACGTCCTTGCCAGCATCTATAATCTCCTGATTTGTTCATTTTAGCCACTCTGACTGGCGTGAGGTGATATCTGAGTGTGGTTTTGATTTGTATTTCCCTGAGGAGGAGTGACGTTGAACATCTTTTCATGTGCCTGTTCGTCATCCGGATGTCTTCTTTAGAGAAGTGTCTATTCACGTTTTCTGCCCAATTATTCATTGGATTATTTGCTTTTCAGGTGTGGAGTTTGGTGAGCTCTTTATAGATTTTGGATACTAGCCCTTTGTCTGATATGTCATTTGCAAATATCTTTTCCCATTTCGTCGGTTGCCTTTTAGTTTTGTTGACTGTTTCCTTTGCAGTGCAGAAGCTTTTTATCTTCATGAGGTCCCAATAGTTCATTTTTGTTTTTAATTCCCTTGCCTTTCGAGATGTGTCGAGTAAGAAATTGCTGCGGCTTAGGTCAGAGAAGTTTTTTCCTGCTTCTTCCTCTAGGGTTTTGATGGTTTCCTGTCTCACATTCAGGTCCTTCATCCATTTTGAGTTTATTTTTGTGAATGGTGTAAGAAAGTGGTCTAGTTTCATTCTTCTGCATGTTGCTGTCCAGCTCTCCCACCACCATACGTTAAAGAGACTGTCTTTTTTCCACTGGATGTTCTTTCCTGCTTTGTCAAAGATTAGTTGGCCATACGTTTGTGGGTCTAATACTGGGGTTTCTATCCTATTCCATTGGTCTACGTGTCTGTTTTTGTGTCAATACCATGCTGTCTTGAGGATTACAGCTTTGTAGTAGAGGTTGAAGTCTGGGATTTTGATGCCTACTGCTTTGGTCTTCTTCAAAATTACTTTGGCTATTCAGGGTCTTTTGTGGTTCCAAACAAATTTTAGGATTGCTTGTTCTAGCTTCGAGAAGAATGCTGGTGCAATGGTGATTGGGATTGCATTGAATGTATAGATAGCTTTGGGTACTATTGACATTTTAAAAATATTTATTCTTCCAATCCATGAGCACGGAATGTTTTCCATTTCTTTATATCTTCTTCCATTTCCTTCATAAGCTTTCTATAGTTTCCAGCAGACAGATCTTTTACATCTTTGGTTAGGTTTATTCCTAGGTATTTTATGCTTCTTGGTGCAACTGTGAATGGGATCAGTTTCTTTATTTGTCTTTCTGTTGCTTCATTGTTAGTGTATAAGAATGCAACTGATTTCTGTACATTGATTTTGTATCCTGTGACTTTGCTGAATTCATGTATCAGTTCTAGCAGACTTTTGGTGGAGTCTGTTGGGTTTTCCATGTATAATATCATGTCATCTGCAAAAAGTGAAAGCTTGACTTCATCTTTGCCGTTTTTGATGCCTTTGATTTCCTTTTGTTGTCGGATTGCTGATGCTAGCACTTCCAACACTATGTTAAACAACAGCGGTAAGAGTGGACATCTCTGTCATGTTCCTGATCTCAGGGAGAAAGCTCTCAGTTTTTTCCCATTGAAGATGATAGTAGCTGTGGGCTTTTCATAAATGGCTTTTGTGATGTTTGAGTATATTCCTTCTATCCCGACTTTCTTGAGGGTTTTTATTAAGAAAGATGCTGAATTTTGTCAAATGCTTTTTCTGCATCGATTGCCAGGATCATACGGTTCTTATCTGTTATTAATGTGATGTATCACGTTGATTGATTTGCGAATGTTGAACCAGCCCTGCAGCCCAGGAATGAATCCCACTGGATCATGGTGTATAATTCTTTTTATATGCTGTTGAATTCGACTTGCTAGTATCTCATTGAGAGTTTTTGCATCCATATTCATCAGGGATATTGGCCTGCAGTTCTCTTTTTTTGCTGGGTCTCTGGTTTAGGAATCAAAGTAATGCTGGCTTCTTAGAATGAGTCTGGAAGTTTTCCTTCCCTTTCTATTTTTTGGAATAGCTTGAAAAGGATAGGTATCATCTCTGCTTTAAATGTCTGGTAGAATTCCCCAGGGAAGCCATCTGGTCCTGGACTCTTATTTGTTGGGAGATTTTTGATAACTGATTCCACTTCTTCACTGGTTATGGGTGTGTTCAAGTTTTCTATTTCTTCCTGTTTGAGTTTTGGAAGTGTGTGGGTGCTTAGGAATTTGTCCGTTTCTTCCAGGTTTTCCAGTTTGTTGGCTTATAATTTTTCATAGTATTCCCTGATAACTGCTTGTATCTCTGAGGGATTGGTTGTAATAATTCCATTTCATTCATTTTATCCTTTTGGGTCCTCTCCCTCTTCTTTTTGAGAAGCTTGGCTAGAGGTTTATCAATTTTATTTTTTCAAAAAAACCAACTCTTGGTTTCATTGATCTGCTCTACAGTTTTTTTTAGATTCTATATTGTTTATTTCTACTCTGACCTTTATTATTTCTCTTCTTCTGCTGGGTTTGGGGTGTGTTTGCTTGTTCTGCTTCTATTTCCTTTAGGTGTGCTGTTAGATTTTGTATTTGGGATTTTTCTTGTTTCTTGAGATAGGCCTGGATTGCAATGTATTTTCCTCTCAGGACTGCCTTCGCTACATCCCAAAGCATTTGGATTGTTGTATTTTCATTTACATTTGTTTCCATATATTTTTAAATTTCTTCTCTAATTTCCTGGTTGACCCATTCATTCTTTAGTAGGGTGTTCTTTAACCTCCATGCTTTTGGAGGTTTTCCAGACTTTTTCCTGTGGCTGATTTCAAGTTTCATAGCATTGTGGTCTGAAAGTATGCATGGTATGATCTCAATTCTTGTATACTTATGAAGGGCTGATTTGTGACCTAGTATGTGATCTATCTTGGAGAATGTTGCATGTGCACTGGAGAAGAACGTATATTCTGTTGCTTTGGGATGCAGCATTCTAGATATATCTGTCAAGTCCATCTGATTCAATGTATCATTGTTTCTTTGTTTCTTTATATATCCTGTGTCTAGATGATCTGTCCATTGTTGTAAGTGGAGAATTAAAGTCCCTTGCAATTACCACATTCTTATCAATAATATTGGTTATATTTGTGATTGTTTTATATATTCGGGGGCTCCCATATTTGGCACATAGACATTTATAATTGTTAACTCTTCGTGATGGATAGACCCTGTAATTATTATATAATGCCCTTCTTCATCTCTTGTTACAGCCTTTAATTTAAAGTCTAGTTTGTCTGATATAAGTATGGCTACTTCAGCTTTCTTTTGACTTCCAGTAGCATGATAGATAGTTCTCCATCTCCTCACTTTCAATCTGAAGGTGTCCTCAGGTCTAAAATGAGTCTCTTGTAGACAGCAAATAGATGGGTCTTGTTTTTCTATCCATTCTGATACCCTATGTCTTTTGGTTGTAGCATTTAGTCCATTTACATTCAGTGTTATTATAGAAAGATTGGGTTTAGAGTCATTGTGATGTCTATAGGTCATGCTTGTAGTGATGTCTCTGGTACTTTGTGGTCCTTGCAACATTTCACTCACAGAATCCCCCTTAGGATCTCTCATAGGGCTGGTTGAGTGGTGATGAAATCCTTCAGTGTTTGTTTGTTTGTTTGTTTGTTTGGGAAGACCTTTATCTCTCCTTCTATTCTAAATGACAGACTTGCTGGATACAGGATTCTCAGCTGCATATTTTTTTCTGTTCATCACATTGAAGATTTCCTGCCATTCCTTTCTGGCCTGCCAAGTTTCAGTAGATATATCTGTCACTAGTCTTATTGGTCTCCCTTTATATGTTAGAGCGTGTTTATCCCTAGCTGCTTTCAGAATTTTCTCTTTATCCTTGTATTTTGCCAGTTTCACACTGATATGTTGTGCAGAAGATCGTATCGAGTTATGTCTGAAGGGAGTTCTCTGTGCCTCTTGCATTTCAATGCCTTTTTCCTTCCCCAGATCAGGGAAGTTCTCAGGTATGATTTGTTCAAGTATACCTTCAGCACCTTGCTCTCTCTCTTCCTCCTCTGGAATCCCTATTATACGGATATTGTTGTGTTTCATTGCATCACTTAGTTCTATAATTCTCCCCACATACTCCTGGATTTTTTTTTTATATCTCTTTTTCTCAGCTTCCTCTTTTTCCATAATTTTATCTTCCAATTCACCTATTCTCTCCTCTGCCTCTTCAATCCGAGCTGTGGTCACCTCCATTTTATTTTGCAACTCATTTATAGCATTTTTTAGCTCCTCATGACCATTTCTTAGTCCCTTGATCTCTGTAGCAATAGATTCTCTGCTGTCCTCTATACCTTCTTCAAGCCCAGCGATGAATTTTATGACTATTATTTTAAATTCATGTTCTGTTAGGGGCGCCTGGGTGGCGCAGTCGGTTAAGCATCCGACTTCAGCCAGGTCACGATCTTGCGGTCCGTGAGTTCGAGCCCCGCGTCAGGCTCTGGGCTGATGGCTCAGAGCCTGGAGCCTGTTTCCGATTCTGTGTCTCCCTCTCTCTCTGCCCCTCCCCCGTTCATGCTCTGTCTCTCTCTGTCCCAACAATAAATGAACGTTGAAAAAAAAATTTTTTTAATAAATTCATGTTCTGTTATATTGCTTAAATCGTTTTTGATCAATTCGTTAGCTGTCGCTACTCCCTAGCGTTTCTTTGGAGGAGAATTCTTCCGTTTCGTCATTTTGGATAGTCCCTGGAGCGGTGTGGAACTGCAGGGCACTTCCTTTGTGCTGTCTGGAGTAACTTGTGTTGATGGACGGGGGGGGGGGGCGCAGTCAAACCGGAGGTCTGCCCCCAGCCCACCACTGGGGCCACAGTCAGACTGGTGTGTACCTTATCTTCCCCTCTCCCAGGGGCAGGACTTACTGTGGAGCAGTGTGGCCCATCTGGGCTACTTGCAGACTTCCAGGCTTGTGGTAGTGCTTCTATGGGATCTGGTGTATTAGCCGGGGTGGATCTGCAAGGTCCACAGGGGCGGGAGGGGCAGGTTTAGCTCACTTTGTTGTTGGTGGTCCCCTGCGGGAGGGGCCCTGCAGCACTGGGAGGGAGGCAGGCAGACCTGTTGGAGGGATGGATCCACAGAAGCACAGTGTTGGGTGTTTTCGGGGTGCAAGCAAGTTTGGTGACAGAAACTGGTTCCCTTTGGGATTTTGGCTGGGGGATGGGTGAGGGAGATGACGCTGGCCAGTGCCTTTGTTCCCTGCTGAGCTGAGCTCTGTCTTCTGGGGCTCAACAACTCTCCCTCCCGGTGTCCTCTCGCCCTGCCGCTCTCTGAGCAGAGCTGTTGTCTTATAACATTCCAGATGTTAAGTCCTGCTGGCTGTCAGAACTCACGCAGTCCGGCCCCTCCGCTTTTGCAAACCAGACTCGGCGGCTCTGCCTTGCCGGGCGGGCTGCCCCTCCACTGCCCCAGCTCCCTCCTGCCAGTCCCTGTAGCATGCACCACCTCTCCACCCTTCCTACCCTCTTCCGTGGGCCTCTTGTCTATGCTTGGCTCGGGAGAGTCCATTCTGCTAGTCTTCTGGTGGTTTTCTGGGTTATTTAGGCAAATGTGGGTGGAATCTAAGTGATCAGTAGGATGCGGTAAGCCCAGTGTCCTCCTATGCTGCCATCTTCTCTCATCACTTCTAAGTTCTTTCCTTCAACACTGTAAAGATTTTTTCTACTGTCTTCTGGTCGCTATAGTTTCTGATAAAAAGCCCATGATCACTTGAATTGTTGTTACCCTGTATGCAATGTGTCATTTTTACTAGCTGCTTTTAAGATTTTCCTTTGTATTGGTTTTAAGTAGTTAGACAATGATGTGTCATATTT